ATTACAATTCCTGATTTCAATGCATACTGCAAAGCTATTTTAATCATAACAGCATAATACTGCCATAAAAATAGATACAAAGGTCAATGGAACAAAATAGAAATTAATTTATATAGCAACAACTACCTGATTTTTGAGAAAAGCTTACAGAATGTACATTAGATAGAGGATAGATAATGTATAGAACATACATTAGATAAAGGATAGTCATTTAATAAATGATGCTGGTAAAATTGGACATATATATGTAGAAGAATGAAATTAGATCCTTACTTCTCATCATATAAAACAATCAGTTCAATATGGATCAAAGACCTAAATTTAAGATGCAACTCTATAAAATTACTAGAAAAAATATAGAGAAAATACATAGTTATTGGTGTAGGTGAAGAATTCTGGATAAAAAAGGCAACAAAGGCAAAACTAAAGAAATGGGATTACATAAAACTTAAAGTCTTCTTTACAGTAAAGGAAACAGTGGATAGATAGAGCCCCTACAAAAGCAGGATTAGGGATTTTGCCAAAACTGAAACAAGAATAAAACTCATAGGGAAGGTTAGGTATTACAATAGTGAAATGATTTATTCTATATGAAACTTTTATGGGGACAATCCCCAAAGAAATTAGTGGTTTACAAATGGATAACTCATTTTAAGAAGAGACAAGATGATGTTGAAGAAGCCTACAGTGGCAGACCATCCTTATCTATTTGCAAGGAAAAAAATTATCTTTTTTGTGACATAGTTGGAGAGGATTGAAAATTTATAGCAGAAACAACATCCAACAATATAGCATCTCAACTGATCAGTTTATATAATTCTGGCTGAAACATTCAAGTGGAGGAAACTTTGTTTATGAGTTCCCAAACTGTTGTGCCCGTATCAGTTGAAGATAAGGACAGAGCTTTATCAGTATAGATTGTAAACAAGTAGGACCAATTTCTCAAACAATTATAATAATGAGTAAAACTAATGGCTTCCAGCAGAATCCCAAAGACAAAGTAGAATACCATCCAAAAAAGGGGAAGTAGCCCAGTTAAAGCAAAAGCTGACTGTCAAGAGCAGAGATCAAGGCAAACATTTTTTGGAGATGCTGAAGATATTTTCCTGTTGAATTTCTGGTTGGCCAAAGAATAATAACTTACGTTTGTTGAAATAGTGTGTTTTTGTTGCTGCTAGTATATTTTATCTTTATTTCAATTTTTAAAATTAATATAAGGTGTACAAATTTCACATATTTCATATATACAGATTTAGAAGCATAGTGATACCACCCTAAATTCCCTCCAACCTGCCATTCTCCTTCCTTTCTTATTTTAATTTTTATAATTAAATACTTTCAGTTTATTTTATAATCATAAGATTAACCCTATACTAAATAAAGAATGCAACAAATAGTAAGAATTTAAAAAAAAAAGTGTTCCTCAACAGTAGAGACAGGAGTTGTAAAAAAAAATCACATCTCAAAATGTCAGCTTCAGTCCTATAACTACATTTTTTGTACTATATTAGTTGCCATAGATTAAGGGAAACATAAGGTATTGGTTTTTTGGGGGACTGGCTTATTTCACTAAGTATAATGGTTTCCAGTTTAGCCAATTTTGTTGCAAAGGACAGGATTTCATTCTTTTTTGTAGCTAAGTAGTATTCCATAGCGTACATATACCACAGTTTATCCAGTCATCAGTTGATGGACATCTGGGTAGACTCTATGTCTTAACTATTGTGAGTTGAGCTGCAATAAACATGGGGGTACAAATAACTCTCTCATGCTGATTTCATTCCATTTTGGTAAGTTCCCAGGATGGCTGTGTCATATGGTATATCAGTTTTCAAACTTCTGAGAAATTTCCATATGGGCTTCCAAATGGCTGTCTTGGTTTGCCTTTCCACCAAGAGTATATTAAGATACCTTTTTCCTCACTTCCTTGCCAGCTTTTATTTTTTTTACTTCTGTCTGACAGCCATTCTCACTAGGGTGAGGTGAAACCTCACTGTGGTTTTGATTTGCACATCCCTGATGGTTAGTGTTCCTGAGCATTTTTTCATGTGTCTGTTGGCGATTTAAATTTCTTTTGAAAAATGCCTATTTAAGTCTTCTGCTCATTTCTTAACTACATTGTTTGTTTTATTCTTGTTGAGTTTCTTGAGCTCTTTATATATTCTGGATATTAATCCTTTATCAGTTGCATAGTTCGCAAATATTTTTTCTCATTCTGTCAGTTGTTTCTTCACTTTGATGATTGTTTCTGTTGCAGCATAGAAGCCCCTTAGATTGATGTAATCCCTTCTATTTTTGTTTTTATTGCCTGTACTCCTGAGGTCTTTTCCAAGAAGTCTTTTCTTTCCCGATGTCTTGCAGAGTTTCCCCAATGTTGACCTCTAGAATTTGATGGTATCACATTGTAGATTTAGATCTTTGAGCCATTTTGAGTTGATTTTTGTATAAGGTATAAGGTAGGTGCCTTGTTTCATACTTCTGCATGTGTAGTTCCATTTTCCCCAGCATCATTCATTGAAGTGACTATCATTTCTCCAAGAATTGATTTAGCTCATTTGTTAAAGATTTGTTGGATGTAGATGCACGGAATAATTTCTGGGTTTCTATTTTCCATTGATATACATGTCTATTTTTGTACGAATACCAGATTGTTTTGATTATAACTGCCCTTAGTATGTCTTGAAATGTGGTATTTTCTTTTCTCTGGTTTTATTTCTATTGTTTGAGATTGCTTAAATATTTGGATTCTCTTGTGTTTCCATATGAATTTTAGTTGTGAGAAGAATGTCATAGGTATTTTGAAAAATGAGATTTCATCAAATCTGTAGATTGCTTTTGGTAGTATGGACATTTTTATGATATTAATTCTTCCAGTCCAAGAACATGGAAGATGTTTCCACTTCTGTGTGTGTGTGTCTTCTATTTCTTTCTTTAATGTTTTGTAATTTTTACTGTAGAGATCTTTCACATTCTTGGTTAAGTTTATTCCAAGGTATTTAAATTTTTTTGTAACTATTTTGAACAGTACTGATTTTAAAAGTTCTTTCTTAGCCATGGTATGGTGTTTACAAATGCTCTTGATTTTGTGTATTGATTTTATAACCTGCAACTTTTCCAACTCTCTTATGAGTTTCAGTAATCGTCTTAGTGGAGTCTTTTGGTTCTCTGATATATAGAATTATGTCATCTGCAAAAGGGATAATTTGACTTCTTCATTTTTGATTTGTGTCCCTTTTATTTTTTTCTTGCCAAATAGCTTTGACTAAAACTTCCAGAACTATGTTGAATAGAAATGATGAAAGTAGGCATCCTTGCAGGTTCTGGATTTTAGTGTAATTCTTCTACCTTTTCCCCATTCAATGTGATGCTGGTTGCAATATAAGCTCCCTCTTCCTCTTCATTGCTCCTAAACATTTACTACATTCTTATACAAAACTCTTTTAATGTGGAATCGAATTGACTGTTGTGGATCCTTATTATGTTGCATCCCTTTTAATACCATCTTAGATTTCCTTCTGAGTTGTCTGAGGCAGTTGGTCCCCTTATAAGGTTAGCTGGATTCTTCCCATAGTGTTGATATGGCAGTGGCAACCAGAGCAGTTTTTCCTGCGCATCCTAGAGTCCTCTGATACACTCTGTCATAAGAGGACCACAATATTGGCATTCAGGGCAGGCTTCTACACTTACCAAATAGTAATTATATAACCTGTATGAGCCTGAGTTTCTTTTTTGTTTGTTTGTTTGTTTTTGTTTTTTTTTTTTTATTTATTTGACAGAGCTAGACAGAGAGAGAGAGACAGAGAGAAAGGTCTTCCTTCCATTGGTTCACCCCCCAAATGGCCACTGCAGCCGGCACTGCACCAATCCGAAGCCAGGAGCCAGCTGCTTCCTCCCAGTTTCCCATGCGGGTGCAGGGGCCCAAGCACCTGGGCCATCCTCCACTGCCCTCCTGAGCCACAGCAGAGAGCTGGACTGGAAGAGAAGCATCTGGGACTAGAATCTGGCACCCATATGGGATGCTGGCGCTGCAGGCGGAGGATTAACCAAGTGAGCCAAGGCACCGGCCCCCTGAATTTCTTGATTTGAAAATTGTGTTGACATTATCTTTTTTGGGTTATTTAATGGTCAAGAGGCTGCAAACTAATATAATGATTGCAGATAATGGGCATTTAATAAAATAGTAGCTGTCTCCATCAATTGCTTATTCTTTAGCACTTGTGTGGAACTGCCATCGCATCTTTATAGTTGTTTTCTTTTTAAATTAGTGTTTATTTTTTAAAAGATTTATGTATTTGAGAGACAGAGTTACAGAGAAGCAGAGAAAGAGAGAGAGGGAGAGAGGTCTTCCATCTGCTGGTTCACTCCCTAAATGGCAGCGACGACCAGAGCTGGGCTGATCCAAAGCCAGGAGCCAGGAGCTTCTTCTGGTTCTCCCCCATGGGCACAGGGGCCCAGGAACTTGAACGTCTTCCACTGCTTTCCCAGGCCATAGCAGAGAGCTGGATGGGAAGTGGAGCAGCCAGGACTAGAACTGGCTCTCATATGGGATGCCAGCATCGAGGGCAGCGGCTTTATCTGCTATGCCACAGCTCTGGCCCAAGTATTTATTTTTATTTGAAAGACAAATTCAGATCTTCTGTCTTCTGGCTCACTCCCTGAATGTCTGCGATGACCCCAGAGCTAGGCCAGGCCAAAGCCAAGAGCTGCAAACTCAATCCAGGTCTTGTATGTGGGTTTCAGGGACCCAAGTATTTGGGCCATCACTTACTGCCCTCCAGCGTGTGCATTAGGAGGAAGCTGGTGTCAGAAACAGCTGGGACTTGAATTCAGGCATTCTGATACAGGATGCATGTATCCCAGAAAGCATCTTAACCCCTGCATCAAGTACTCACTCCATTATGTTTGTTTACTTTTCACATCCACCACAGTGTTTTAGACTAATGTATAGAATAACTTCAGCCATTTGTAATAACTTTAAATTTTATGACTTTCAACAATAGATGCTGCTTGTTCAGTGACTAATCAATTGGATATGATGTTGGAAATATTTGAAAAACAGTCAAATATGTGGAAAAGGTAAGTTTTAAGATAACTTTTCTTTATGAAAGTTATTAATAGTAATTGTATAATATTTACAGGGTTTATTGTGACATTTGAATACATGCTTACAATGTGTACTAATCAAACTGTATCAGAGTAATCACTATTCAGGGTAATCACTTTTTCATCTTAGTCATTGTTTTATGATTGGAGCCTTGGAATTCCTCTACTTTCTGATAAAATATATAGTACTTTATTGTGAACTGTAGTGAACTCACAATGCTGTGTAACTGTAAGAACGTACTCCTTCTAATTGTGATTTAGTACCTGTTATCCAAATTTCCTCTGTCTTTCCTAGCCCTCCAGTATCTAGGTGTCATTAATCTGTGTTCAGAACATTTTTTAACTTCCACATATGAGAGAGAACATGCAATATTTGTCTTTCTTTGTCTGGCTTACTCCACTTAACATGATCTCCTCCAGTTCCAAACATTTCCTTTTGTTCTTTTTTTATGGCTAAATAATATTCTATTACATATATATAAGAAAAAAAGATTTCTGCCAAAATGTTTAGAATTATCATGTCAATTTTTATGACTGTACATAAAATTTTTAAATTATGTTATAAACAGAATATCTAATTAAATGTAAAATGTAAGGCAAAACAATGACTGAATTTTGCCTATTAGTATAACAAAATTATAATTTTTCTAATAGGAAGCCTTGACATAGAGGTAGTTAATGAGTACTCTTACTATGCTATTACAACAAAAATTTCCCAATTTCAGCATATTTAGTGCAGTATGTTTAACCTAACAAACAAAATTGTACACTATATGATGAAAGAAGTTCCACTGTATGTGCTCTAAAGGAAGGAATACACATATATTCGAGAAAGCATAGAAAAAGTAAATGATTACTTCTTTGTGATAACAGAAGAATCAGATAGAGCCCCAGGGTGTGTTAGGAGTATGACTTCATGGTCCACAGCAGAAGGACTGAAGGATTACTCTGAACAACTGTACAACAGCAAATTGGACAGCTTAAAAGATGACTATTCCCAGAAAAATCCCTGCTAAACTGATTAAAGAATAACTGGAAAATCTGACTGGGACTGTAAGAAGTAAAGAGATTTTATGAGCTACTAACATATTTCCTATCAAGAAATGCTCAGGTCAGATGGTTTCATTGGTAATTTCTTTCAAATATTTAGAATAAATATAAGGTACTTTAAGACATTCATTGAAAAATAAAATTAAAAGATATTTATCTTCCATGATTTTTGACACATCCTGGAACCAATTCTTTTATAACTCTTCCCCAAATTGAACAGGTAACACTTCTCAACTAATTCTGAGCTTAATATTCCTCTGATACCAAAATGAAATACTAATATCAGAAAAAAATATACAGACCAATGGAAGTTATGAATACAAAAATCTTCAACAAAAAACTCAAATTGAATCCAGCAACATATAAAAAGATTTCACATCATGAACATTTCAGATCAGAAAGGCAAGGTTGATTTAAAGTAAAGTATCAATTAGTGCATAATATTGATTGAACAAGGCAGGGAAACATACGATCACCTCACCAGACACAGTAAAAACATTGAAAAATCAAGTGTACCAGGACTACAGGGAAATCTTCTTAGGGATGGTCCATCAAAGAACCTGCAGTCTACATCATACTTAATGGTGAAAGACCAATGATTCCTCTCTTAAATCCGAAACAAGACAGAATATGTATGCCACTCCCATTTATTATTTAATAAGGGTTCCTGCCATAGAGCACAACTAAAGAAAAATAAATATGTGTCTAGAGTAGGAAGGAGGAAGAAAAACTACTTTGCATTAACATGATTTTGTTTATAAAAAATCTTAAGAGATCCCTTAAAAGCTGGTAGAAGTGTGGACTTCAGCATTTGAAATCCAAAACATTCCAAAATCTGTAACTTCATTTGTGTCAACTTTGTGCCATATTTGTATTACTTTATAGATTTTATTTTCATTTTGTTTCAAAGACCCAGATCTTCCATCCACTGGTCTACTCCCTAGATTCCCCCAAGAGCCAGGCCTCATTCAGGCTGGAGCCAGGAGCCTGGAATTCAATCCAGTTCTCCCTTGGGGCAGTAGGGGCCCAAGTACTTGAGCCATCATCAGCTGTACCCTGCAGTGTACATCAGCAGGAAGCTGGAATCAGAAGTATTGAAAGGATTGAACCCAGGCACTCCAATGTGAGCTGCAGGCATCCCAAGCAGCAAATTAACTACTGTGCCAAATGTCCATCCCATATTATTTCAAACTCTTTACAAGAAAATGAGTGTGTTCACAAATAAAAATACAAATTTAAACTTTGTGATTTGTTTTTTCAGAACTATGAAAGAACGAGGTTTGCTGGAGGCTGTAAGTATAGCACTCTCAATCTGAAATTGCACTTTGCCCTGGAGTTCTAAATAGACTTGAAATGGTCAGGGTATCTGATCCTGAATAAAGATCCAATGCTTACCCAGTTTGTTTAAGGTGTACCTATGAGCATGTGAGCTGAGAAGCTTTGCCATGCTTTTTTTTTTTTTAAAGATTTATTTTATTTATTTGAAAGATAGTTACAGAGAGAGGTAGATACAGAGAAGAGAGGTCTTCCATCCGCTGGTTCACTCCCCAGTTGGCTATAACGGTCAGAGCTGAGCCAATCTGAAACCAGGAGCCAGGAGCTTTTTCCGGGTCTCCCACGTGGGTGCAGGAGCCCAAGGACTTGGATCATCTTCTACTGCTTTCCCAGGTCATCGCAGAGAGCTGGATTAGAAAAGGAGCATCTGGGACTGGAACCGGTGCCCATATGGGATGCTGGTGCTTCAGGATGAGGCTTTAACCCACTGCCTCACAGTGCTGGCCCCTGCCATGCTTAATTTTAATAGACCTTATTACTCATTTACATCTCACGAAATCCTAAACTACAATACTCTGCGGTCTTCTAGATACTTTAACCACTGCCATTTCTAAATCCTTTACTTCTTGTAGTCTCAATAATAACTTCATAATGCACATGGATACTTATGGCTTATTATTTTCATGAGTTAATAAAGACTTCTTGCTTTAACATGTCTATATTGAGATGTTTACTCTGCATTATTAATAAAATTATAACATTTGCCTTTAGAAATACAAACAGATAAAGAGTGATCTTGAATTGTTATCTGAGGAAAAAAAAATGCTGGAAAATAAACTACAGAGGCTGAAGGATCCAGAGGTTGGTAGATGTTAGTGTCTGGAAACGGCATGCAATACCCAATGAGGATTATCATTTAAGAGGAACCAGAGGAACATTTAAGTGTTTTTTAATGTTTTCAATATTAACAATGTATAGTGTTATAAAATAATAATGTTCTAAATATATTGAAACCAAAATGATACTGCGAAGGTGAAGGCAGACAGCATGTCAAGCCGCTCTTGGCTACAGTGTGTGGAGTACACCATTCTGGCCCTCAGCTGTGTCACAGCTTCTTATCCCACTGCTGAAAGCCCTCTTGCCCTCTTTTTCATGGCAGAGTAACTCGTATGTTGCAACTTGCGCAGTGTTCACTCCCACAAACAAGCTTCTGCCTTTTTCAAGATGAAGGACTGTATTCCTCACAATGTTTATCTGTCCGAAGTCATTTAACTGCATGAAACTAACTTTCTATTAGGCTTCTATTTTCAAAAACATTATCATTGACAATTATTTTATGTGATGCGTATGTAACCCATTTTCTGCATATGTCTTCCCAAGTTTAATTCCGTATTTTTGTATTGTGAGGTAATTTTGGGAAGAATCATACCACATGTAGCAGAACTGACTGTAATTTATCAGGGTAATTTAATTATTTAAGGCATGTTAGCTGTAACTTAGACTCAGTAAAGCACTGTTAACAAACAGCCTAGCTGTATCATTGTGTTTTGTTTTTATTCAAATCATTCCCCTAAAATGTACTATAGTGATCCCTGGAGTACAATGGAAATCTTAGTGATGTATATTCTTATTTGTTTCCCTATTTATTGTGTCCCTATTTAATTCTGGCTTATAATTGCACAGAAAGCAAAGCTAGTAGATGATCAAACAAAGAAAATAGTAAAAATAGAGAAGAAAAAAGAAAAAGGAAAACCCGAGGATTCTGAGGGGTAAGGCCTGATGATTTGTGTGCATCTTCCTTTATATTTTTATTTCAAAAGAGTGAGACATAAAGATGCATGTGCAACTTTCTACTTTGTTTGTTTTTATTATAATTTAAGTTCATATAAACATCATGCATTGCCAGGTTTAAAAAACATAATGGAGCAAATGTCTAGCTTTATAAGAAGATTAGGCTATTATTGTGAAGAAAAGGTGAATAAAAGGAAGAATAAAGAACCAGAAGTGCACTCGAGTGGATAATGAACCACAGGATGTTCAGGAATAGGCAAACAATTAAATCATTAAATAACTAAAAACAAAACAGGATTTGTATTATTTGCTTGAGGGTCTGGCGCATGTTTCATCATTTGTTAAATCCCCAGAATTTGTTTTTCTTGTATAGTATTTCTTAATTGTTTTCATTTTTATAAAAGCATGTTATATAAGTGGATAATGGTAAAGTTGCTTTATTAAGTGAAAATTTTCTTGATTATAAACAACTACTAGCCGGCGCCGTGGCTCAATAGGCTAATCCTCCACCTTGCGGCGCCGGCACACCGGGTTCTAGTCCCGGTTGGGGTGCCGGATTCTGTCCCGGTTGCCCCTCTTCCAGGCCAGCTCTCTGCTATGGCCAGGGAGTGCAGTGGAGGATGGCCCAGGTGCTTGGGCCCTGCACCCCATGGGAGACCAGGAAAAGCACCTGGCTCCTGGCTCCTGCCAGGATCAGCGCGGTGCGCCGGCTGCAGCGGCGGCCATTGGAGGGTGAACCAGCGGCAAAGGAAGACCTTTCTCTCTCTGTCTCTCTCTCACTGTCCACTCTGCCTGTCAAAAAAAAAAAAAAAAAAAAAAAAAATAAACAACTACTGAATTTTGAATGCTCTTGGTCAAACCTAATCTCAAAAGATAGTTTTATAAAGAACATATAAGTCCACTCTGTATTGAGTTCCCCAAGTTCTGAAAAGAAACTTGTTGAACAATGGCTTTGATCCATGACATAGAAGATTTAAAAAATAATCAAAGAAGAAAAGTGACATGCACTTTGAAAACATTAATCTTTTTATATTTTCATTATGCCATTGTGAGGTTAGCTTCAGAAATGTCATTCAATTATTTATTACATAACCTGTATAAATTTTGTACTTTTAAAAGTATGAATTTCCTTGAAAAATTGTATCCACTTAAAATGGCTTAAAATTATCTTCATGAAATCAAAGTAATGCATTTTAATTATAGGACGATGTCTGCCATAAAACAGTGTAAAATGAAAGAAGATTTTCAGAAATTTCAGGTACTGTGCATGTTCTTTCTATGTGTGTATCTTTGATCAGTGGTCTATAAATTATATGTATAAACAATGTTAGTATGAATGCAAATATGGGGGATGTGTGTGTGCATGTGTGTGCAAGTATCAAAATTTTTCCTAAGATACCTCTTTTGGTTGGTTATCTTTTAAAATTTATTTGAAAGGCGAAAAATCAGTGTTGCAGCAAAAGAGCAAAATCAAGAGTGAGAGCGAGAGACAGAGAGAGACATAAAGATGAAAGAGGAGCTCCCACCCGGCTGATTTAGTCCCCAAATGCCTGAAACTGCTAGAACTGTGCCAGGCTGAAGCCAAGAGCCCAGAAATCAATTTTAGTCTCATATGGGTGGCAGGGACCCAGCTACTTGAGCCATCACCTGCTGCCTTACAGAGTGTACTTTAGCAGGAATGTGGAATTGGAAGAAGATCTGAGACTTGAATCCAGGCACTTGAATATGGGGTGTGAGTGTTCCATGTGGTGTTTTAACCATTGCACCAAACACCCACCCTCTTGTTCGATTCTTATTGCAAATTTCGGAAAATAAAATTATAAAATCAGGCATATTGATATCATGTCAAGATCATGAAACTATCACTACAACCATTAAGGAAGAAAGAACATCATTGGAAATCACATTAAGGACTTAATTGTGTGTCTTTGTATAAGTGCCTTTAATCTATTTGAATCTGATGTTTTTCATCACCAAAATGGGTAAACAACAGCTAATCAGGGTGGGTGGTGATGGCAGTGTTTAGCATAGGAGTTGAATGCCTGCATCCTATATCAGAGACCCTGTGTTCAAGTCCCAGCTGTCCTAATTCCAGCTTTCCATCAATACACACCCACAACATGGGTGGCAACCATGATGGTTCAGGTACTTAGTTCCCTGCCATATGGGAGACGTAGATTGAATTCCTGGCTCCTGGCTTTGGTCTGACTCCATTACAGTAAGTGAGCCAGTAGATGGAAGATGTCTCTATCTCTTTTTGTTTCTGTCTCTGCCTTTCAAACAAAATTATTAAAAATAAAATATAAACCAATAGCTTCTCTGTCTCAAAAAGGTATGTAAAAATAAAATAAATAAATAAAATGAAAGATAAGAAACAAATAAGAGAAAATTCTTTAGAAATTATGAACCACATAGCTCATTGTTTTATGTCATACAGTAAGAGCAATATGAATAACTCATTATTTTATTTTGGCTTTGTGATAGTTCTATTTCTTTTGCTACAAGCTAATTTCTTTTTTAAAAAAATTTTTTTTAATTTGGCAGAGTTAGACAGTGAGAAGGAGAGACAGAGAGAAAGGTCTTCCCTCTGCTGGTTCACCCCCTCAAATGGCCACCACTACACCGATCTGAAGCCAGGAGCCAGGTGCTTCCTCTTGGTCTCCCATGTGGCTGCAGGGAACCAGGCACTTGGACCATCCTCCACTGCCTTCCCAGGCCACAGCAGAGAGCTGGACTGGAAGAGGATCAGCTGGGACTAGAACCCAGTGCCCATATGGGATGCCGGCACCGCAGGCAGAGGATTAACCAAGTGAGCCACGGTGCCGGCTCACTCAAGTTAATTTCTTAGTAATCATTATAGTGAGTGGTATATTTACCTGAGTAATTAAAAATGTAGATAACATAAATTCAGGAAAAAGTAAATGTCACTTGATATGTTGTGTATAAAAAGTACATTTTTTTGAAAGTATTAATCTTCTCTTGCTGCATAATATTTGCCACAGAAGTAGCAGCTTAAAACCTCTCAGTTTCAGTGGATTAGGAGGCTGAACATGACAGCTGCATCATAGGTTGTAGCCAGTTATTGGCTATAACTCGAATCCCTGGATGTCTAGCCAAAGTCTGCAGTTTCCTGCCGTGGAGCCTTTTCCTAGACAGCTTACATTATGTCAACTTGCTTCTGTAAGGACAGCCAAGAGTCTCTCTTTTTTTTTTTTTTTAAAGATATATTTTATTTATTTGAAAGAGTTACAGATAGGTAGAGAGAGAGCAAGAGCGAGAGAGAGAGAGGTCTTCCATCTGCTGGTTCCCTCCCCAAATGGCTGCAACAGCCAGAGGTGAGCTGATCCAAAGCCAGGAGCCAGGAGATTCTTCTGGGTCTCCCAAACAGGTGCAGGGGTCCAAGGACTTGAACCATCTTGCATGGCTTTTCTAGATGCATTAGCGGGCTGCTGGATCAGAAGCGGAACAGCCGGGACTCAAACCAGCACCCATATGCGATGCCGAGGCTTTAACCTTGATGCACCACAGCACTGGGCCCCAAGAGTCTCTCTTGTCTAATAGGACAGAGTCCTATAACCTAACTTGATCGTGGACTGATGCCCCATTACCTTGCTGTATAACGTAACCTAATGAAGGGAGTGGTATCCTGTCCTGTTCTGTTGGTTAGGAGCAACTCACAGGTCCCACTCACACCAAAAGAGTGGATTATACAGAGCATAACCTCAGGGATGAAGATCATGGGGCTATCTTAGAATTCTGCCTATCATACTTACTCACTAGTTTATTTTGGATAGAGCAACATTTTGTATTTTTAAACAACTGGTATTGGTCCCATTTTATTGTTAATATAAGAAGTCTTTATTTAAAGCCTTTAATGTTCTTCAGAATTATTTTTCTAAATTTAAAGTCAGAAATTTAAAATTCTATGTAATTTTTTAGAAGAAATTGTCTATGAAGACTTTGTCTTCATCCCCAGCACTCAGTTATGAACCATGCCAACCTAGGCCATTTTTTAAAGATTGATTTTAGTTATTTGAAAAGGGAGGGTTATGGAGAGAAAGGGAGATGGAGATAGAGAGATAGAGAAATACCTTCCATCTGCTGGTTCACTCTCCAAATGTCCACAATGGATGGGGCAAGCTTGGCCAATCTGAAACCTGGAGCCTGGAGCTTCTTCCAGGTCTCCCACGTGGGTGACAGGTAACAAAGCACTTGGGCCATCTTCTGCAGCTTTCCAGGAACAGTGGCAGAGAGCTGGGTCAGAAGTGTAGCAGTTGGGACTTGAACATGTGCCCATATTGGATGCCAGTGTCTCAGGCAGTGGCTTAACCTGCTATGCCACAGTGCTGACCCCCAGTCTAGGCCATTTATTGAAGATCAGTAGAAGCTACAATGTTACTTGATAAGCACTGTAGAGCAAATCAGTGGTGAAATTGAATGGTAAGCATGACTGTCTGAGTCCTGTTCAGTATCTGCCTTGGTGATGAAAGCCGATTTACATTTGCCTTCTCATGCTGGCATAAATAGCGGAATCAGTTTGTATGTTTATATGTCTAAGTAATGATAATATACATAAAATGCTTTAAAACTTTCTTTTAAAAAATTTCTTTTTATTCATTTGAAAGGCAGCAAGGCAGAGAGAATCTTCCATCCTCTGATTCAGTCCCCAAATGACTTCAACAGCTAGATCTGGTTCATGCTGAACCCAGAACTCCATCCAGTTATCCCATGTCTGTGGCAGGAACCCCAGTACTTGAGCCATCACCGGCTTCCTCCCAGGGTGTGCATTAGCAAGAACCTCGTCAGAAGTAGAGCTGGGATTTGACAAGGGGTGCAAGCATCCCAAGTGTCATCATGCTCTAAAGTTTATTTAAAGTATGTGTACATTAAAGTTTGCAGGGACTCAAAGCTGCCTCATATTGTTTAAAATGGGCAGGGCTAAGAGAAATCCAGCCTCATTTTTCTTCCTTTTCACGTGTCAAGTAATTCTAGATTGTATCTTGAGTATTGTGACTATCAGGTTGTTGAAACTCTGGATCTTGTTAGATTATTCTCATGACTGAAAAAATTTCCCTTTAATATAAAGTTAACATGATTGGTTTCAAAATGTAAGTTATATTTTTAGGTAGCAGCCCACATTGCGTTTTAGTTCTGGCTAGGCTGCTTGTGGTTCAGAGGTCAGGGAGCGATTTGGGTAGAGTTTATACAAGGAATTTGGGGCTCTGTTTCTCTGCCTGTCTTATTTGTGTCCCTGACTTCGCCTGCTTCCCCTTGACTTCTCCAGTGGCTGTGGTTGTCCTGAATTCTGTCATCGGGTTGGAGCTGTAAAGATCTGGGTTGTGTATCAGTGATGAGGCACCCTGCCTGGTTCAGATAGGGTTCTCCTGAAAAAAGGAGAATCTTATTCAGGACACTTTCCAGGTGCCAATTTTTTTTTGACAATCTCACTGCCCTTGATTTTGGCCAGAGGTTTTGGTGGTCATATACAGCAGCATTAGTCCCTTGGGACCTTGCTCAGCCATACCAGAAGCAGAACTGGGACTTTCTATACTTTCATTAAACTGTTGTTCATCTGATGGAAACTTCCTGAGACTTTTTCATGTTTTTAGAATCTACTAATTCTCAGAGACAGAACTATGTTTATTTTGTGTTAAAAGTAGAGCTTCTTCTGCTAGTAAGATTTGAAATGTTTCTATTTAAATATTTGAGGCCTTGAGAAAAAGAGAAATGAAATAATGTAATTGTAATTTGCCACATTCCTGGTCTATTTGCCTGTGACAAATCAGTAGGGAGCTATAATGTCAGGTAACGTCCATACTCATTTTAGAAAAGTGATAATTGTAAAATATAAATTAATCAAAAATAACATAATGAATATTTTGTTCTCCCTTCTTACTTCCTAGAAAGCAACAGATGATCTGGAAACTGAGAATAAAGTCCTCTGGGAAAAACTGAAAGCAGCTTTGGAGGTAAAGGATGCCATGTTCCTTTAACATTTACAAGGGAAGGAAAGGACTCAGAATGAATTTAAGTGAATAATTTTGAGCTTACAAACATATAGATGCTTATATTGAACTATTTGCCTGATTTAAAATATTCATTTTATGCAATAGAAACAATTAATAAAATTTAGTATTCTGGTAAAAAACCAGTAAGCTATAAGAAGAAGTAAACTTTGGTAATTAAACCAGAGCAATCTATTCCAAACTGATACAGTGTACTTAAAGGTAAAATACTGCAGGCATTCCAATTAAACCCAGTTAAACTGCGATGTTGCTTCATACTGCCATTTTGCTGATTTTAGCTGAACAATAAAACAAAATGAACGAAGCTACAAACATTTCCGTAAGTGGATAGATAAAATGTCTGATGTTATCTTTTTCTGAAAATATAATCAACAAGGTTATTAGTGACTTAGTCCAAAAAGGTGATGGGGAACAAAATAGAATAGGTTTCAGAGTTGAAAATAAGAAAACAACATTTATTTTTATCTAAACAATCATCTGGAAAGTAATTGTTAACTGTATCATTCAGGAAACATAAATTTGTATCTATACAAAATAAATACATAAATAGATACATAAATTTGTATCATGACTTCAGAATAGTATATTTAATAACAAGTAAAATGACAGGTAAATTTAATTTATCATTTTGATAAGAATATAAGGAGCAGCAATATCTAATATTTGTGGATGTATGTTGAAATGAGTATTCCATTTCAATACTTCTATTATCAATAAGAATTGATGCTTTTCTTAAAATATTTACCAAAATATTGGAAAGATGTAGCCTTTTCCCTCAGCAAGTCCACTTCTGAAATTGTTCTAAATAATAAAAAGTATGTGGAGATTTGGCACAAACATATAAAAGGTAATATTTCAGTAGCAAAGTTTAGAAATGATCTAAATGTTCACTGACAAGAAATTTGCTAAGTAAAATATGTTATATTATTAAATGTATTTGTGTTACCTATTCTGATTGAAATGCATTTGTTGTCATAAAAACATTTATAACATTTTCATGAGAGAGCATATTATTCATGTGTATTATGATTAGGTCTAAATAAAGATTATAAATAGATATACATATGTGTGCCAGCTATATTTAGCTCAATAGGCTAATCTTTCACCTGCGGCGCCAGCACCCCGGGTTCTAGTCCTAGTTGAGGCACCGGATTCTGTCCCGGTTGCCCCTCTTCCAGTCCAACTCTCTGCTGTGGCCCGGGAAGGCAGTGGAGGATGGCCCAAGTCCTTGGGCCCTGCATCCATGTGGGAGACCAAGGGAAGCACCTGGCTCCTGGCTTCGGATCAGCGCGGTGCGCCGGCTGCAGCGGCCATTGGGGAAGGAAGACATTTCTCTCTGTTTCTCTCACTGTCCACTCTGCCTGTCACACACACACACACACACACACAAAAATTAAAAAGAAGATACATCAAAATGTTAACAGTGGTTTTTCTCTGTATGGTGAGGTTGTGATTTTTGTTGTTGTTAATGTATATATTCTTTTTTTAACTATATGGCTAACTAGATTAATATGTCATTTATTTTTTAAAGATTTATTTATTTTTACTTAAAAGTCAGAGTTAAAGGCTGGCGCTGCAGCTCACTAGGCTAATCCTCCGCCTAGCGGCGCCAGCACACAGGGTTCTAGTCCCGGTCGGGGCGCCGGATTCTGTCCTGGTTGCCCCTCTTCCAGGCCAGCTCTCTGCTGTGGCCCGTGAAGGCAGTGGAGGATGGTCCAAGTGCTTGGGTCCCTGCACCCACATGGGAGACCAGGAGAAGCACCTGGCTCCTGGCTTCAGATAGGCACAGCGTGCCGGCCGCAGCGCGCCAGCCACGGCGGCCATTGGAGCGTGAACCAACGGCAAAGGAAGACCTTTCTCTCTGTGTCTCTCTCTCTCACTGTCCACTCTGCCTGTCAAAAAAAAAAAAAAAAAGAGTTAGAGAGAGAGAGAGGTCTTCCATCCACTCGTTCACTCCCCAATTGGTCACAACGGCTGGAGCTGCAGCGTTCCAAAACCCAGGAGTCAGGAGCTTCTTGTGGGTCTCCCACGCAGGTGCAGGGGCCCAAGGACTTGGGCCATCTTCTACTGCTTCCCCAGGCCACAGCAGAGAGCTAGATTGGAAGTGGAGCAGCCAGGTCTTGAACCAGCACCCATATGGAATGCCGGTGCTTCAGGCCTGGGTGTTAACTGGCAGCACCACAACACTGGCTCCATTAATCTATATATTCTTTCATATAAGTAATATGTTAATGAAAATGCAGCATGTCAAAAACCCATGGGATATAGCAAAAGCAGTATTAAGAGGGAAGTTTCTGGCATTAAATGTTTACATTAAACAAAGAGAAATGTCTCAAATTAAAGATCTAATGATGCATCTTGAAGACTTAGGAAAACAAGAATAAACCAAACCTCAAATCAGCAAGAGATGAGAAATAAGCATTAGAGCAGAAATAACTGAAGTTTAAACCAAAAAGAACAACAAAAAGTTGGATTTTTGAGAAGATAAGTAAAATAGATAAATCTCTAGCCAGAGTAACATAAAAAAGAAAAAATGCAAAAAATAAAATTAGAGATTAAAAAGGAGACATTACAACTGAAATCACTGAAATGCAAAGGATTGTAAAAAACTGCTATGAAGAACTATATGCTAATAAACTGGAAAACCTCGGCTGGCGCTGCAGCTCTTTAGGCTAATCCTCCACCTGCAATGCCAGCATCCCAGGGTTCTAGTCCCGGTCGGGGTGCCAGATTCTGTCCCGGTTGCTCTTCTTCCAATCCAGCTCTCTGCTGTGGCCTGGGAAGGCAGTGGAGGATGGCCCAAGTGCTTGGGTCCCTGCACCCACATGGGAGACCAGGAGGAAGCACCTGGCTCCTGGCTTTGGATCGGTGCAGCGCGCCAGCCGTAGCGGCCATTTGGGGGATGAACCAATGGAAAGAAGACCTCTCTCTCTCTCTCTCTCTCTCTCTTTCTCTCTCTCACTGTCTAACTCTGCCTGTCAAAAAATAAATAAGTAAATAAACTGGAAATCCTCAAAGAAATATATAAATTCCTGGATCATAAAACCTACCAATATTAGCTCAAAAAGATATGGACAACCTAAACAGACCCATAACAAGCAATGAGATTGAACCAGAAATCAAAAGACTTCCATCAAGGAAAAGCCTGGGATCTGATGGCTTTACTACTGAATTCTACAAAACATTCAAATAGGAGGTAACTCCAATATTCTTGATACTATTCTAAAATATTGAACAGGATGGAACTCTGCCAAACTCTTTTTATGAGGTCAGCATCACTTTGATGCTGAAACCAAAACATGACATGAAAAGAAACTACAGACCTATATCTTTAATGAACATAGATGCATAGATTCTCAAGAGTACTAGCAAACTGAATCAAAAACATCATACAACAGGATCTAGTGGGATTTATCCCTGAAATGCAAGGGTGGTTCAATGTTCACAAAATCAATAAGCATCACAAATCACATCAGTAGAATGAAGAACAAAAATCAGATGGTCATCTCAATAGACGCAGAGAAATCATTTGATAAGATTTAACGCCCCTTAATGATAAAAAAAAAACTCCAGAAATTAAGGATAGAAGGAACATTGCTCAAAATTCTAAAGCCTAGATATTGGAAATCAACAGCCAATATCATACTGAATGGGGAGAAGGAGGCATTTCCCTTAAATCTGGAAGAAGACAAAGATGTCCACTTTTACCACTCTTACTATAGTACTGGATATCTTAGTGAGAGCAATTAGAGAGGAGAAAGGGCATCAAATTAGAAAAGAAGTAATCAAATTATCCACGTTTGCAGATGACATATTATACATGGAAAAAAACTCAACACTTCTCCAAAAAGATGTTAGAATTGATACACCAATTCAGTAAAGTGCAGGTTCCAACATAAACATAGAAAAACCAGCGGCTTTTTTGCATCCTGATGATGAACTAACAATCAAGAAATAAATCCCATTTACAGTAGTCATCAAATATCAGATATTTAGAAATGCATTTAACCAAAGAAGTGAAAGATCTCTACGATGAAAATTATCAAACATGGATGAAAGAAATCATCAAGTACACACACACAAAAAATTGGGAAAATGTCCTGGGCTTACAGATTGGAAGAATCAATATCATTAAAATGTCTATACTACCTACAGGATTCTACAGTTTCAATGTAATCCTTAAAAATACTGATGACAATCTTCACAGAATTAGAAACGGCAATCCTAAAATTCATATGAAATCACAAATGACCTCAAATAGCCAAAATGATCCTGAACAAGAAAAATCAAAATGGAAGCATCATAATAGTTGACTTCAAATCATACTACAAAGTTGTTGTAATTAAAACAACATGGTATTGGCATAAAACCCAATATGTAGATCAATGACACACAATAGATAACCCAGAAATTAATCCACATATGTATAGTCAATTTTTTTGACAAAAGTTTTCATAGCATACAGTGGAGTAAGGATAGCCTCTCTGACAAATGGTGCTGGCAAAACTAGATTTATGTATGTAGAGGAATGAAATTAGATCCATATCTTAACCATACATAAAAATCTACTCAAAATGTATCAAAGACCTCAATTTAAAGCCTGAGACTGTGTAGTTGCTAGAGGAAAACATAGGGGAAACACTCTGAGGCATTGGTGTAGGGGATAACTTCTTAGACAAGAACCCTAATCACAGGCAACAAAAGCAAAACTAAATAAATGCAACTGTATTAAACTCAGAAGCTTTTGCACAGCAAGGAAACAATCAATAGAGTGAAGAGACATCCAGTAGAATGGGAAAAATATTTGCGTACCATCTATCTGACAAAAGAGCAATATCCCAAATATATCAGCAACTTAAAAACTCAGCAGCAGAAAAACAACCATTCAGGTTGAGAAATGAGCAAAGGGCTTCAATATACAGTTCTCAAAAGAAGAAATAAAAATGGCCAACAAATATGTGAAAAAAATTCTCAACATCACTAGCCATCAGGGAAATGCAACTCAAAACTACAATGAGATATCACCTCAACCTTGTCAAAATGGTTAAAATTCAAAACACAGAGAGTAACAAATTCTGGCAAAAATGTGGACAAAAAGAAACACTTATACACTGTTGGTGAAAGTGTCAATTAGTGCATCTACTGTGGAAAACAGTGTGGAGGTATGATCCAGCAATCCCACTACTAGGTGTATACCTGAAAGACATGAACACAATGAATCAAAGAGATACCTACATGACAGTGTTCATAGTAGCACTATTCACAATAGCCAAAATTTGAAATCAACCAAGGTATCCATCATCAGGTTAATGGATAAAGAAAATGTAGCATATATACACAATGGGATGTTATTAAATATAAAAAAGAATGAAATTGTACCATTTGCAGCAATATGGACTTAACTAGAGGACATCATGTTGACTAAAGTAAGCTGGACCCACAATGATAAATACCGCATGTTCTCCCTCATATGCAGAAGCTAAAATTTAAAAACAAAAGAAGAAAGAAATGTCAGTGTGTATTAGTATTACTGCAAATATAGTTTCATAAAATTTTGTTTTAGATCTTTGTGAAACCAGTGGTTAAGAATGTTATACTACTATATTTTTAATGATCTGTGATTACTTTAAAATTTACTGTATATGGTGAAATTTTCCATTTAATTTTTGTTTATAGCTATTGCCTATATTCCCACTAAACTAGTGTCTTACTGCTTTTTTACTTGTTAAGCTTCTTATTCAGCAAGGTATTAAGCCATTTTACTGTGATGTAAATTTTAAAATATATTATCTCAAAAGCTAAAAAAAGAAAGGAGAACGAAGGAGGATAGGAAGGAGAGTGGAGGAGGAAGGGAATATTATTATATTTTTAGAATTTATCTAAAAAGCACATTCAATTTGTTAAAAAAATTTTTTTTAATTTTAAATAATTTTTAAAAATTTAAAAAATTAAATATTAACAAACATATCACCATATCTATTTGTGGTTCAAATTAATTTACCTATCTTTTCTTCCTAATTTGAATAAATGTAAATGAACGTTAAAAAAATTAAAGGAAATTTTAAAGAAATTTTTCATTTTAGAATAAATTATATATTTCTACTGTTCATTCTTTGATATTATGGATATTAATTTTTACTATTTACCATCTATCACTTCTCATACTGCATATGTTTTATTAATCTTATATTGTCTATGTTATAATCAGAGCCTTACAAAAGGAGAAACTCCTGGGTAGGACAATAGCCCTCAGAAGCAGGAGAGATTTCCTCAGCTTTAAATTTATTTTTGGAGCTGTTTAAATATTAATTATACCAAGGATTTAACTTATTTTACTCCAACTCAGAAAAAAAATTGAGAATTATATGAACATAAATATCTAGATTCCTGAATTTTTTAATATTGGCAGGAAAGTGTCTTGGAAAACACTTGATAACTGGCACTTTTTCACAAACAGGAAGCTGGGAGAGCGAAGTATCAACTCGATGATTTCCTAAATCAACAAAAGGCCAAGGCAGCAATGGAAAAAGGGAAAATAAAAGTTACAGGTGAAGACTCAAAAAGTAAACTGTTGGAGAAAAAAAGAGGAAAATCATTAGTGTTAGCTATTCATGGACAAAAGAGCGGTGATGAAATCCAGGGACATCCACAGGTAAGGAAATAACCAAAGTAGAAGCAGTGGAGACAGCACTAAGTACTACAGTAATTGATTTTCTATGTTATTATTACTTCATTATGTGTGTATGTATATGTATGTATGTATGTATGTATGTATATAAAGTCCCTGTGTTTTTTGTTAATTTTACTTTTACATTCTGGATCTGCCAATTCATTATTATCTTGAAGACTGCTAAAAATTAATCTGTATAACATCAAGTTAGTAATGTTAGTTTAGGTTTCAAATATAAGTCTTTCTAACTCCAAATCATGTCTCAGGATGTCTTCTTTGTATATATGGCTGCACTTGAAACCTCAGTTTGTAAATACCTTTATTGTTTTGTATTTCTCAACACTTTTTTCCTAAACTCCAAATAAAGGTTATTGTATGTAACAGGTTAAATATAAAAGAAGCCAGATTAAATAGTAAGATGAACCTGAACAGAGAAGATAACTTCGTTACTTAAGACATCATGTTGCTTTCACATAAATAAGCAGTTCTAATTTTTAGTGATTATAATACAGACCAATGCATGCCTGACACCCTATCTGTCCTGCTCAGCACTCATTAAACATCTCCTGCTTAGTAGGTTGTTCTCATGGGTGGTGCACATAATGCCATTTGTTCAGGTTGGCCTGTCCTGGTGAATAATGATGCAGATTGTTACTAGAGATGGAAGGGAGGTTGTTCATGCTCACTGCCTTCATGTGCTCATCTTACAGTCATTCTTCAGTTAAATATAATCGTAGTTCTTTCCCAGATACTCTATGACACTGTGCCAAGGTCATAGGAAATATACCTGATGGTGTTCTAATGGGTGCCTTGAGGTTTCCTCTCATCCTCTCAGCAGCGTTTTGCTGTTTGACCACTTACTTCTTTTTAATAGTCTTAAGCTTATTTAATAGCTGCATAATTATTATTTGATTTTTCCTTTTTTCTGGTATTCTTCAACCTCTTGATATGTGCATCCTTTAGCTTGATATTTCTCTGGGTTTTATCTTGGATTCTCTTTTCGTTACAACTAGTCTTTCTGAACTCATATACCTTTATGGCTCTCAGTACCACAGAATTATTCTCTCTAACCCAGACATCTAGTTTCCAGTCCTATTATTCACCAGAATAGCTAGTTTTTCTCCTTGAATGAACTGCACACTTCCAGAATTCATCATGTACCCAAATGAATGGATTGCCTTTCTCCCGGGCTTGTTTCCTCTCCCAGCACTCAGTTTCCTAGCAACTCACCCACCTAATTACTGACACCAGAAACTTGGTGATTACTGTGGTATCAATCCAATTATGAACCATCAAATCTGTCAAATTCTGTCTATTTTTCTCATTTTCCCTGACAGTGCTCTTGGACAAGCTGCCACCAGGACTCTAATTGACTACCTTCAGTCTAGTCATTTAAAAACTGCTATCTGTTCATGAGACCTCCTTGCCTGAAATTAATTATTTTTGGTTGAAGTACAAATTCCTATTTATGGTTTAAGGCTTTATCAGAACTGCTCCTTATCTGAGACCCCAGCCTTGTCTTTGATTTGCTCCCTGGACATGGCACATGCTTTCTTACACACACATTACCTGTATTTTATGTGTGGAATAAATCATTTTATGTCACCTTCAGATTTTGCATATTTATTTAATTTATTTATTTTAACACATCATGTTCTCTTTTGCTGTGTAACAAAGTATTCCAAAATTACTGACAGATCTCAGGGACTGTCATCTGGGGTGAGATAGGAGAGAGTATGTTGTTTGTGTGGTCAGGCAAGATGTGAGGGCTCTTGCTTAAAATTACCTCCACATGTGGCTCAGGGAAGGGGCTTTTAAGGGACAGAAACAGAAGCTGGGGACATTTGAAAGTGAGCTTGGGCTTTTGATCATGTCCTGTGTACAGATTCTGAGATTTAGTTTGTGATCACCACAGGATGGAGATGTCAGTAACAAATCCTTCCCCTAGCAGACTTGGGGCAGTCATGCTGTCCTGAGTGATGTCTAGCTCCTTTAAAGAATAAGTTTATTTCTCTTCAGAAAGTGGCTTGCAGGGGAACTTGACGAGGGAATCAACATAACTGAGGGGCTGAGGAATTTGTGTCCTGCTGTTAGCAGGGAGAGGGAAGGGGAGCCTTCAAAGTATTAAGTGAGCCTTTTTTTCATTTGGGAAGTTCGTTGTTTAATCACACAACCTATGTTGGTCAGGCATCCAGTTTGCTTTGACAAGGCTTATGTCTCAAGGTCTCATAAGGATGTAGTCAATGTGTTAATCTTAGCTGCATTTAATTTCTTAAGAACAGGCACTTCCAAACCCACTCACAGACCCAGGTAACCATAGTTAGGCCTCAGGTCTTTGCCGGCTTTTAGCTTGATCTTACCCTAGTGCCTCTCAATGAGGACACTTACAACGTGGTCGTGAGGCAGAGAGAGATGTGGAGAGACCAAGGGGTAGAGGGATGGACCAAAAAGGCAGAGAGACAGATGTGGAAAGACTGGGAGGCAGAAATGTTCATGGCCAGGGATGGAGGGGGTCTTATTTTTGAAAATGTCATTCCATTGCCCGTGCCATGCCCTATTCCTTAGACGTGTGTGTAGTCATTGGGGTCATCCCACATTTATGGGAAGGGATGACCATGCCACTGGTACAGGTAGTCTATTGGAGATCACTGAGGGCTATTTTAGAAGTTGCCAACTGCAAGTAGATTGGTAAGATTGGTATTAGGTTGTGAAAACTTCTGAATTGAATGCTAAATGAAGCAGTTTGGTCTTCAATACTTGGAAAAGGAAGACCCTCTGAAAGTTCTGATGTAAAAAGGTAAAGATTTGTGGTTTTGAAGAGAACAATTGTACATCAGTAGGCAGATGGATTATTATTTTAGTGACATCATGAAAATAAATTTTTGATATTATAATTATAGATTTATTTCACTTATTTAACTTATTCCATTATTAATCCACTTACATAGATTTAGAAATTACAATGCTGTTGTTTGCTGTGGAGTTGTGATACTGTTCATATAAAAAATGAATTTTCTCATCTGAAATAGGAAGCTGTCAGTGATCTTGGATCTGGGCGTCACAGAAGAGCTGCCTAGGCGATGAACTATTGGGTGTGGGTAGAATCTATAATCTAAAATGAGTAAAGGAAAAATATGTGGAACTTCTGTTGGATACTAGATTATATTGCACAGAAATCTATCATGTATACATCTTAATGCTTTGTTGGAAGAGGTATTTGGTTTTTTGCTTCTGTGCTTGTTTTTATTTTCTAAATTTTTATTTATGTAAATGGAAAAAATTTCATGTATCTCATACATACAGTTTTAAGAACATAATAACATTTCCCACACATCCTCCATCCTCCTTCATTCCCACTCTTCCTCCTACTTCCTTTATTTTTTCACTTTTGCAATAATATACTTTATTTTTTTTCTTTGAGAACAACATTTATCATTAGTTAAAGAAGCACCTACACAAACAAGTAATGGAATTGGGCACTGAAGCATATCTAAAACTTATGAGACATAAGAATGTCCTCCATTTAATATAAAGTAAATCTTTGAGAACAAGTTTTAAGATAAACGCTCATAATACATTTTGAGGACAGAGGTACTGCATGGGAAGTTAGTGCACAGTGAATTAATTTAAAAATTAATATTCTTATGTATGACATCAGTGATCCCCCAAGACTCTTGACATGAACTGCCTAGACTTTGGAAGCCTTTTGGATCCACAAACTCTATCAGTATTTAGACAAGGCCATAAGCAAAGTGGAATTTCTCTCCCTCCTTCTGAGAAAAGTACATCTTTCTTTGATGACCACTTCTTTCCACTGGGGTTTCACCCACAGAGGTCCTTCATGTAGGACAGTTTTTGCCACATGTCATGGCTTTCCATGCCTGAAATGCTCTCATGGGATTTTCAGCCAGACCAGAATGCCTTAAGAACTGATTCTGAGGTCAGAGTGCTACTTAAAGCAGTTTTCATTCTATGAGTCTGCTGTATGGACTGCTTCCCATGTTGGAGCTTTCACGCCTTTTTAATTCTATTATTATTACTAAACACTTAATCTTACTTATATGATCACTTTAACAATTAATCATATCCTTATGATCACTTTAACACTTAAAATGCTAATTTTACCCCCAGCTTTAGAGGATTGAAGGTCTCATGGCAAGTTTTTAAACTGTCCTCTTAGAAGTAAGTCCATAGGAATGTACGTAGAACTATATAGCTTTATAGTTACAAACTTCACACATTTCACAATTACAACTTTAGGAACATGGTGATTCTTCCCACCCATAATCCTAACCCTCTTCATCTTACTTTCTTATTCCCACTCTTATTTTTTTTACTAAGATCTATTTTCAATTAACTTTATACATGTATGATTAACTCTGTGTTAAGTGAAGAGTTCAACAAATAGTATTAATGAAAAAAAAACCTGTTCCTCAACAGTCAAGACAAGAGCTGTTCAAAGACACTGCTTCTCAAAGTGTTAATTTCACTTCTACAGATTGCCTTTTAGGTGCTTATTATTTATAACAGGTCAGGGAGAATATATGGTATTTGTCCCTTTGGGACTAATTTATTTGTCTAAATATGATGTTTTCCAGTTAAATCCATTTTGATGCAAATGACCGGATTTCATTTTTTACTGCTATATAGTATTCCATGGTGCACATATCCTGTAATCTCTCTATTTTTTTAAGATTTGTTTTATTTATTTGAAAGAAAGAGTTACAGAGAGGTCTTCCATCTGCTGGTTCACTCCCAAGATGGCCACAACCACTGGAGCTGTGCCAGTCTAAAGCCAGGAGCTTCCTCCAGGTCTCTCACGCAGGTGTAGGGGCCCAAGGACTTAGGCCATCCTCCACTGGTATCCCAGGCCACAGCAGAAAGCTGCAGAAGAGGAACAGCCAGGACTAAAACCAGCACCCATATGGGATGCCAGTGCTTTAGGCCAGGGCTTTAACCCACTGTGCCACAGCGCTGCCCTC